AATTTATCACAAAAATTTGACAACTAGGACAAGAACTCATCAAAAGTTGTCACCATGAGCCAGTGCAGATTGTGTGTGTGTGTGTGTGTGTGTGTGTGTGTGTGTGTGTGTGTGTATGATAAGAGGGAGGCAGAGAACAGGAAGCTAGAACTATTTGTGTGATAGCCGAGAGAGTAAGCACATAAGAATAAAATGTTTTCAACTTTTGGACAAGTTCATTTATCTCAACACTGGTATTTCAATCAAGATGGTTTCTTGATTTTACTCTAAAAATATCTTTTTTTCCCCATGATTTTCCCAATGGTCACCATGTCACTAGGATGCCTTACATTGATGAAAATCCTTTACTTTGGGAGAAGCAATTATTTTCAGTGTTTCCTTCTCTTTCCTATTCATTTCTACATCATTAAGTCAGAATTGAAAGAGGAGTTGGCATGAGTTTGTTTGGTATGATAACAGGACATCCCAGTGGGCACCTGAGTTTTAAATTCTATATACAAAATGAGTATTAAAGGTGATATTTAAAGTTATAATGCTAAATTAACACATGAAGGGAAGAGGTTAGAGGTATTTATGATGGTATTAACAAGAAATTTCAGCACACAAGTGAGAACACAGGGGTAGGAAAGAAATTCAGGTCAATAAGAAAAGCGTGAGTTAACAACAGGGAGCCGTGAAACTTTGGGGTCTTTTCAGGCAATGGGAGGAGTATAACGGAGGCTAAGGATACACACAGTAAGGATGCTTGAAGCTGGAAATACACTTGTGGAGCCAGACTGTGAACGCTTATATGTGCGTTGTCTGGATTCTCAGCTTTACAAATTAGAGCCATGACATTTAACTCACACATAAGAACAGTTTCTGAGGTGACGACGAGTCTACCCATAGACAAAATAACTCATACATAAAAGCTTAACACAAAAAAGGGGTTAAATATAAAATATTGCCAACTAGGGAGGAACGGTTTGAGAGATACATATACTATGTCTAAATTTTGTTTATATTTAATTTGATTTATCTTTTAATTATTTTATTTATGTTTGATATAAAGTATATAATATATACTTACACATTAATTTTGTACTTATGTATACATATCAGCAAGGCTTGGAATATATCTAACAGTTTGCCCTGATATCTTCTTAGACTTCACAAATTGAAACTCTTCTGGGTAAGGTAATAGTAATTCAGAAGATTATCTCGTAAGACATCTTTATTTGAACGAACTATTTTAGTCTTTGTGAGAGTGAGGCTCAATTACAGTGCTTTTACTACTGTACATTTCTTAAATTAACTAATGGATCTTTGTAAACCTTTCGGGAGGTTTTATCAAGCAATCTTGAATCATTCATGTTCAAATATTATTTCAGTGAAAACTTAGAAGGCTATAAAATATAACTCCCACGTGTCCCAAGCCATGAAGCACTCACTAATATCAGAGTCTTCAAATATATTTAAACTGATTTTTCACAACTTAGAAATATAGGATGGAGGCAACATCAAAAATGCAAAAAGAGCTTAAATATGAAATACTGCAAATTGGGAAGAAATAGTTGGAGGGATAGAAGACATAGGAGAAATCCACAGAATAAGAACAGGGAACATTTGGTTTAGTAGCAATTCACATATGGCCAAAACAAAACAAAACAAAAACAAAAGCAACACTAAAGGTTTCTTTTGACTATAAGATTAATAAGATGCAACATGCAAAATAACTTTCAGTCTTAAAAGAAGAATAAACCACAAGCAATTAGGCAGTGATATTTCAAGGGGATAGTTTATATCCAGCCTGATGTCAAATATTGGCAATGGCAATGGATTTTTTGAAAGGGACACTAGCAAGATAGAAATCATTCAATTGCTGCTAAAAGGAGACCCTAATTGAAAATAAGGACACCGAATCCAGAAATGAGAAAACTATGGGGCAATAATGTATTTGTCTTTAACATTTTGAAAGGATGTCATTTAGAGGATCAAATAGAGATACTCAGCATAGCTTCAGAAAGCAGAAATTTGGGAAGAGGCTCTGAAAATCAGATGGGTGGAAGTTTGCTACAGAGAAACTAACTTTAGTTTAAAGAAAAAACCTTTCTACCAAGGAGTAGATTACTGTGTCCAAAATTACTGTGATATCCCAAGAGCATTCCAGAAGTGAAGAAATCACACTGAGTGTTCCTCTTGAAGTCCTCACGGGATAGCCCTGGAGTTTGCCTTTGTTACAAAAATTATAATTGACTTATTTGTCAGTCCCCTCTCGGAGGGACTTCTTCCTGCAAAACTGAAAAACTTTATGCTGCAATTCTCTGAATCAGTTTCATGGGACTGGGAGGAACTCTCACTACCATGGATTCTGGCTGCTTCTATTTTCATTGGTCCCAAGGGACCAGGGAGTCTTGTGGCTTGTCTTAAATTCCCATTTTGCTCCCATCTTCATTCTAAGGCCTGCAAAATATGTCAGCATGGAGGCAAGAGATTTTCATGCAGTTTGATTCCATAGATTCATAGGCACCTATTTCAATTTGGTAGCAAAATATCCATAATTCTCTAAGAAAACCTAAAGAGGTTCCTAGCCCTTCATTTTCACTCTGTGACCAGGATGACAGATACAACAGGTTTTCACACAAAATTCTGTTAAAGAAAGAGCAAACGTTATTAATAGGTAACGGAAAATTATGGGCCTGTAGACTACGGCACTAATGAAGAACTTGGTCCCGCCTTGCTTAAGAGGGTGTTATTTTATTGGGGATTAAACATCAAAAATGTTTTAATTTTTGATATTGTCATTGATAATTTTTATTCTTCAATACATCTTTTTACTTGGACTGAAATAAAAAGAATTTGGATCTCTGCAATTTCACAGGAAAAAGCTCACAAGATAGAAAAGAAACATAAATTCAGGTAAGAATAATTACAAAATAATCACACCTATTTTAGTCACATAATAAAGACAACCAAGAACATTTTCTATATGATAAACATGTATTTTTTCTTATATCTCACAATGTGCTGTGCCATGAATGAAAGAATATCAAGATGAAAATAAACTTTGATAATTCATATTCCATTGTTTGAAGGAAGATCATGCTTAAATCAGACTGGTAATATGATACCTGATGTTTAAAATATAATACTAATTATATGTAGTTTATTATCTCTTTTTTATCTCTTGTTCCACTTCTTAGAAGAAATCAAAATTATAAAAACTCTCCATTATCTCTATTTTGATTATTTCTTGCCTAATATGGACTCTTTCTAATTCTTCTATGAACAGAAGTGAACCTTTTCACAGTCCATATTCTATAATTTTGTATAAAAGCAATATAAATAATGTTACTCTACTATATTCTATTATTCTAGGTTAGGTTATCCTGGAAATAGTAACATGTTACTTTTATTGATATTGCATCAAGAAAGTAACATTTGACTTGGTTTAAGAACTAAATTTATTCTTATAAATCTTCTATTACTTCTTCTTCCTCTTTTCCTCCTCCTCCTTTTTCAATAGGAACAAAGTAAAGGCCTGTTAATCTTGTGAGTCTACAGAAAGCAGTTACATGGGAAATGATTTTAGTGTGTTTTAAAAGTACTTCCTATTCTAAGGCTTCTTTTTCCAGCTGCAAAGCAATGCATGATGACTGATGTTCAAAACTGCTCCATTCAGCTTTGTGCCTAAAAAGTTTCATTCTGTTAGGTCTAGAATAAATATAACTGTCTTCATGTATGTTATGTCATGTATACAAACTTAATTCATTCCCTAATCCCCTAATAAAACCATAAAAATTCATAAAAATTATTATTATTTGAATGGATTTCAAATTTGCTGTGGAGGGAGGACAGAGATTGTGGATAATACTATTATTTTGTTGTCATGTTTTCCCCTTGATTTGAATTTATATGAATTAACTGCATGTCCTTTTTTGAGGAACTTGTTAGGAGAAGCAACAAATGAAACAGGCAAAGAAGGTCATGAAGGCTTTCGGATCTAAGGGTTTTTTGTAGACCACAGAAAAACAAAAATTAAAATCTCTTATAATTGAGGGAATTTTGAGAGTCAAACAGAAACTCTGCATACTCTCTAATTTTGACAATTACAAAATCACTCATTTTGATTTTGGTAAAGACATTCTGTGGATCATTTGCTGGTTTTTTTGTTCTCCATACCACTCCGTGGAAGGATATATGACACTTGGTTTAAATGCCACCAAAGAAGAAAAGACGTGTAAAGTTATCCTTAATTGCTAGACAACTTAACTGACAACGAGTTTGTTGCTTCATAGAGAAATAACAGAAATATTTCAAGTTAACCAAAGTTGTCTTGATTGCTTAACAGGTCACTCAAATTCAAATAGGTTATCTTGGATGCGTCCAGAAAATCAATACTTACTTGTTTTAAAAACTACTGAGTACTAACCATCAGGTTACGGGTTCAACAGAATTTGTGAACTAATATATTTTTTTACACAGTCACATTTTGACTGGTTCCTAACTTTGAAGCTTCTAATTTTTTCTCTTATGTAGAAAATTTGAGATAACATGGATATCTTGACAGGTTTATGTAGAGAAAAATCAGGATCAATAAACTTCACAGGATTAAAAAAAATAAAGGTATTACTCACACTTTACTTTTGTATTTAAACAAAATTAGACTAGTTCCAGAAGTTGAAGACCGATTTCATTGTAAAAGCTCTATAAATGAGACAATTAGTCCTTTAGTAATTTACTTGCAATTGTAAGAGCTCTTTTTAGTAGAAAAGTTCATATTATTTTGGAATGTACCTTTAGCTTTCTTATTCTTTCTTTCTTTCTTTCTTTCTTTCTTTCTTTCTTTCTTTCTTTCTCTCTCTTTTCTTTCTTTCTTTCTTTCTTT